AATTACAGTGCTAAACATATCTTGAAAATTATTGTTATTGACCTTGATACTTCTCAGTTCCCAAGAAATTGTTTGCTCATACTGATATGTTTAATAAATGAGAGTAAAGACTAGAAAATTCTGTAAGTCATTCCCTAAGTCCTGTTGCAAATCAAACTATGATTGTATCAGATAACCAATTAGTTTCAAAGCACATAACTCATCTCACAAAATTTTTATAAAGGTTCTTTTGAGCTCATAATTGATATAAATATCCCTATTAATATGGATTAGTGCACTGATTGATACTCATTACAGTTGTTTTCCTCATACACAAGTGGTATTCATATAAGGTTTTCGCTTCAACAGAACAGAAGTGATACGAGTCTGAGTATATGTGAAGAATAGCCTTAGATTCTAAAGTATAGTTCATTACTTTATGGAAAGAGCACTAATAAATTCTCAAGCATTTCCAGGAGTGCTAGTATTATAGATCCTTAGCTTTGTTTAGTGTTGCTTTTGAAGAACAAATTTTGCAATCCATACCTTTCTTTATCTTTGTTTTTAGAATAAGAATATTCCTGTCACTCTTAGCTTATTAAAGCTAGTGACATGCAAAGTCATTAAGTACCACTTTATCTGAAAAGTATTTGCCGCAATTACCAGGAAAACAGCTCCAAGACTACCAGCAATATTGCAACTGTACCCACATCTCTGTCAGTATTATGTGGGATCAGTTCTATGAAGAGGTAGTTTTGCATGAATTTCTTGCACTTTTACTTCTATGGCCCCTGACCAATATGTAAACCCCATGGCCCCATTCAGTGTCAGTCATCTTTCCAGATTCAGTCATTGCTTGTTATGAATGGTGTTAATAGCTATAGGAGAAGAACACTTTATGGAAAGATTCCAATTTATTGCTATGTGAGATAAAATTCAGTTTAATTTGACATCATAATTTTCATATTGCTCCATTGCCCCCCAGAAAGTATACCATGGTTGGGAACCCCTGCAATAAGCAGTAACTTTTTATATATAAAAATCTAAGTGGAGTAAAACTATGCAATTGACAGTACTTCACAACTCAAGTAACAGGTATCTATTATGTTCTCCAAATCCTTTCCAAAATCATTTTCCCCCTTAATCTTGGATACATGCTTTTGACTGTAGTGAAACTTTTCACTTTAACCCCTCAATGACGGTATCAGAAATTTCTTGGTGTCACCAACAGCAGAGGCTTCTGGCAACCATCTTGCTGTAGCGGAACTTTCTGCTTGGCATGCTTTAGCACATACCTGGCACAATGAGTTGGATGAGGGGATGATTAATGATATAATAAGTCAAGGACTGCTCTTTGTAACAGTATTTTTAAAGTTTTCCAATCCATAAAATTATAAAAATATCATGAATCTCAACAATTCTGATAAAGAAATATTATTGATCTAAGATTAAAGATGGAATATAAGTGTCTTTGTCATAATGGAAGTGAAGGATGAAGCACACATTGGACTGAAATCAAGTACACGCACAATTTCCTCTTTTTATTTATTTTTTTACTTGGAATGCTTTACTTAACACTGGTCAAACAATGGAGGTACTTGTTGTAATAACAGTTAATCACTTCACTTTACCTTTAAGTAAATCAACTTTATTAAAAACAATCACTCGTAAAAAATTCTCAAGCAATTGGAATGGAGTCACAACTGGATTAGGAAATAAAAGATTGTTCCAAATTCAATTTACAAAAATCAAACAAAATCACACAATCACCATACATGAATATTTCCAGCTATTCCTTCATTTTTAAAATCATCTCCTTTGACTGCAAGACCATACAGCAACATCTGATTATAAACTGTATATGGCACATGTTCAGCATGGACTTAGTTCATGTGTAGATCTCCAAGGGACTGCTCCAGGGACTGTGGATGAAAGATAAATGGAATACAATAATGAATCAGAACATAAATGGATGATTCAAAATATAAAGGGAACACAACTTTATATCCATTTCAATCCTATATCAATAAAGGCTTATTTGTTTTTTAAGGTTTTACAGTTTTTTTTTTCTTTGCTTCAGCTCCCCCCCCCCACACACACAAAGAAACTTTAAACTTTCCCTTTCATCTTGTATCTGCCTTAGAAGACTTTTCTGAATAATATAAGTAACAGAAAATTAGGAACATTTAAAAACAGACATCATTCTTGTCTCAACACTTGCTGCTTTTAACCCACCTTAAAGTTCCAGATAACAAGTTGAGAGTCTGCTCCACAGGTTGAAATGGCATTGGCTCCACTCTTGTCACCAGAGAAGATGGCCAAGCCAGTAATGGTGTTCTGGTGGACAGTAGCCAGAGTTGTGTCTGACTGGTCAGAGCGAGCAGTGCGGTCAAGAGACTGGAACTTCTTCATGGCACTGTTGACAATTTAAAAAAATAATAATAAGTAGAGAGCAAATCTTTTTAAGCACTATGCCTTTCAAAACCCCATGAAAAATTATATAAATGATTCACTGACAAGTTACTATACCACATTGTTGAGTACTTTATCATTCCCTACAATCTGATGCTACAAAGGCATTTTTTTTATAGGTAGAACATAACTTACTGATTTAAAGGTATACTTAAAAAGAAAAAAGATGAAAAATATATGGCATGAAAATTCCAGTTTTAACACCTCTCTTCTCAAATCAATTATACAATGACTAGAAAAATAGAAAGATATGAATACTAATAATAAAAATTCAAACACTGAATAACAAATAAAAGTTGAGGAAAAAAGCTACACTAAGTACACATAACTTAATACTATTTATCCTGGCGTGCATAAGTCATATACGGCAAGACCAGTTGATTGAGCTAGATAGCCAGTGAAGAAAGAAGTATCTAGCAACTATAAAATAAGAGACAATCTGCCACATCAATCAAAACATAGATGACAAACATCTATTCCAGTATTTCTACTTTGTATGCATGTGTATGTGTCTTGTGTGTGTAGCACTAAAATCTAATATTCTGAAATTTATATTTGGATGTTTTTTTCTAGATAAAAATGTTGGCCATCTTTCACATCAAAATAAAAAAAAAACTTGCAGCTGCTGTAGGGGAAAAATCCTTGTTTTACAAAAAATCACACATCAGTGGAAAATATCCGCAATACATCAGCCATCATTTAAAAAACCTCCCTGCAAACTTTGGGGTAAAAACCTATACAAAAATGAAGTACCATTTTACACCTGCAAAATGTGTAATAGCCAGTTGAAATTAACATTATTTATAACACATTACACAAGTTTATCATTGCACTTAAACACTGTCTATCACTTCTAAACCTAGAATTCATTCAGTGTATCAAATGTGCATTTTGAACCTGGAACCACATGGCTTAAAATTGTTTTGTTCCTCTTTTTTGACATTTTTTTTAGCTTTCAGAGTTGAAGTAATCTCTTTATAGGTATAGTTTCTAGCATGATTTATATATTTACTCTTGGATGAAAGTATGGTTAGAGGAAAAAATTACTTGCAATGTACAGTCAAAACATCTATGACTCCAATACGTCCAGTACGTGATTTTAGGCAAATGAAGGCATTTTGTTTTTTGGCATCTGCAAATACTTTTTTTATTTATTTCTTTTATATGTATAATTATTCCAAGTGCAAAAGGAAAAGACTTGGTTCTTTAAAAATACATGAACCGACTCTCTCCAAATTTATCCAAAAACAATTACTATGCAAAATATACATGGAAAATGTTGACTAGAAAAGTAAAATATATAAAGTGAAATTAGAGTAGAATGGTAAAGCTAGTTATACTACTGCAACAATAAACATAAGAAATAATAACAAACCAAAAAGAAATTATACAAACAATAATGTAAGGCATGAATGAATGAATGATTTTTTTTTTTTTTTTGTCTGGCTTGTTACTCCTCGGGGGAAAAGACCTAAAATGTACAACAGTCACCACCAACTAGCAATTATCTTACTATACAAAAATTAGCCACTCTATAGTGCCACTTCATCTAAGTTCTAAGCAAGTCACATAATTCGATCACGGAACAACTATTGACGCGATGGTCTTAGAAATTGAACTGCCTTGCCAACATTCAACATTCGAATATGCCAAAAAACAAAATTCTGGGATTCAACTTGGCTTCAGTTACTATGAGGATTCTCTAATTTGTCTTTCCAAGTTTAACCATGTACAGTACAATTCACAACCAGCTTACCAACATCTTACCTTTCAATGGGATTCACTTCTCTATGTATCAAAGAAAAATTTGGAATCTAAGTAATGATAATTTAGAAAAAAATATTTAAAAATCTAAGCTATTCTGATGTGCCTTGAACCAAACATCATGGAGACAAGTTGTAATTTTAAAAAAGTACTTTCAACATCATAAAATCTGTTATTCTTATTATTCACATACACATTTTTTATCAACTTATCAATTGTAAAACTAGTTCTAAATGTGTCCTTCCAAACTTGTATATAATGTGATGCTTTTTTAGGATTCTTGAATCTTTGATCATCTTTAAAATTTGTTTCTTGCGAATCCTCATATCACATTTTATTATTCTTGGTTAGTATTATATCTTCATACTTTGGATATTATTATTTTTCTCTAATAAATAATGTTGCTCATGTTCCATTTTCAAAACAGGATGCATTATTAAGCAGTAGAATATCTACATTTTGAAGAATCTATTAAATTAGTTATACATAATTCTTAAAACTTCAAAAGATGATTTTAATATAATTCACTACTCTTTCCTGTGGATATAGATGCATCACAGAAAACTTAAATATGAAATGGCAAAAAATATCATCCTTACCTAAGGCTTCCAGTCTCCTTCTTTTGTGCAACATCCAACTTGGTTACAAAAGTCAGCTTTCCAATGTCATCCACACTGTACAGCATCGGGCAACATCCGTGACCCTAAAACAGTAAGGGACATTACATTAATATCTTTATAATCAAAGTCATGCACACACAAATGGTTACAACACACACTCAGACACCCATCCACAAAGAAATGCATGCAGACAGACAGATAACACAGACACACAATAATTCATTAACAAAATTAGAACACCTTAGTGGAGTAAAAGAAAAATCTGCAAATGGATGAGAGACTTCCTACATGAAAGACAAATGAGCACAGTAATTAGAAGGAAGCATTACATGAAGATGACTAGCTAATAGAGTACCTCAAGGAAAAGTCTTGGCAGTGAGAATGCACAGTAAAAAGTCAAAGAATAAAAAAGAGGTAAAGATGTCAAAATGTTTTGTTTTTCAAACCAGAACTACTGAAACAAGGAAAATCACAAAAAATGTGCATCAGTTTATTTTCTTATATTGAAGCAACTAATTAAGGGGCAGGGGAAAAAAAAAAAAATCTAGACATAAAACACACACACAAAAAGTACAAATATTAGGTTACTCCTATGGTAAAGTAATAACATGAGGACTACTACAACATTAAAATAAAAAGCAACCTCCTCATCAATTATAGAGGATACATACAAAAAGAAAAGACAAAGGTTAATTTTACAAATTGTTTAACTAGTCACATTACGCTTAGGGTGCCAATATACTTATACAGCATGAAAAATGATGCTTATTTTTGTGTATTGTATCATGTAGTAGTAATGTTCTCATGATAAACACAATACAAATACTAAGCAATTTTACTATTTACAAAATTAATATAACTTACCACTGCAACTAGAGAATTGAGAGAGACCCAAGACACAGCAGTAAATGGCAGGTACTGGGTCTTTAGTTGGGTCTTCGACATCTCCTTACTAGCATCAGCAACCGTAAGACTGGAGTCATGTCCAACCCAGCACACTCGGTTGCCATCAGCAGAGAAACTAACACTGTGCACCCAACCACCTACAAAAGAAAGTGAGACATTAAGGAGGAATGTTATTATTTTCACCAACTACTTTGAAGTGTAATACTGACTATGACTGCAACCTTCATACTCGACTAAGAATGAAAAGGGTCACCAAAGGTTTCTTACCTCCTCCAGTAGAGTTAGAGAATTCGGTCATCAACTGACCAAGGGGCATTTTGGCACCCCATGGAGTAGGGGTTGGCTTTGGCTCAATATCCTTGATCCAAGCAGAGAAAATCCTCACCTTTTGAAACAAAATTCAATTTGTTAACAATAGATAATACTAAAATGTCGACAATTTAAGCTTAGGCAAAACCAAGTACGGATAAAAAAAGTATGTTTTATAAATATCCATTCCTCATATCATTTTCATAAATAATTATAAAATACTATTTTACATCTCTCAGGGATTTGGTAGAGTATGCAATAAAAGTAGTGATGCCTGCCAGATAAAAATTGGAGAAAACACAGACGGACAGACACAGACACACTCAGAGTCACTACTTACCTCATCCAGCAACTGAACACCTAGTCACCCAAGTTTCCTAACTGTGTCTCAACTGTTTCCAATGGGTTCATGCCCAAGCAAGAAAGGCCTAAATTCTCTAATCCTGGCCTGGTAAGGCATCACCGCTTTAATTGCTGGCTATATATATATATATATATATATATATATATATATATAATTATATATATATATATATATATATCTATATATATATATATACATTATATATAATTACAATATATATATATACAGTATATATATACATATATATATATATACATATATATATATATATATATATATATATATATATATATATATATATATATATATATATATATATATATATATATATATATATCGCTCCTCACAAGAGACATATTTGGTCATGTCTCTATCCAAAAAGGACACAAATAATAGGTTGGAAGAATCCCAAAAAGATAAACAATAAGAATAAATGCAATGAATATATGATGTATTAATAAAACCTTGAAGTCAGCAGCTCCTGTGGCCAGGAGGATGTTGTTGGGATGCCAGTCAAGAGTGGTGATTGTGGAACGGATGGGCTTCTTGATGTGCTTAGACACCCACCAGTTGTTCTCCTGCTCGAAGTAACACACCGAGATCAGTCGTGCTCCAGATCCCACAGCAAATTTATTTTCTATGTGAAGAAGGGGATAGACAAAAAGGGAGGCAAGTTAAGTTTGAACTCATACAGTTTCCTTGCTACATAATATAGTAGCAACAAATGTCAGTCTTACTTATGTAAGACTGTCTACATACAAAGTATTTAAATCTAATTTCCTATCTATGTAGGGCTAAACACACACTATATTCCTACCTCCACACTTGAACTGAAGAAACTTTCATCAACAAATTATATACTACTATTTTCCTCCGATTCTGAAAAATATGGCACATCACACCTTTCAGGTTGAGAAGCATCCTAAAAGTTCTTACCATTTGGAGACCATTTCACACATGTCGCTGCACGGTTGATACGGAGGAGCACCAATGTTGGACTCCACTTCCCGTCTTCACCACATGTCCATACATAAGCATTGCGATCCTGGAAAATGAGTTGCAAATGTCAGTCTATGCATGTAGTTATTATTTATTCACCATCATGTACAAAAAGTATGTACTTTCTATTACATACTGCAAGGGTGAGTGAAATAATTTTTAAGTTGAGCTATTATGGGCTATTTCTCATCAATGAATACAGCCAGGATCAAACAAGCACACAATTATTTAGTATGCATAATGTAGAGAAAGTTCATCCACACATGATGCAAAAACACTATCCTGGTATTAGGGGGTATGATGGGATAGGAAATCTGGAATCTCCCTGCATGATTGGTTTAAAAGATAATTATTGAAATGAATTACTGCAGCACTCAGTAAACTCTACAATATACTTACAGCTCCACAGGTGACAATGCGGTTCGTTTTAGGGGCCCAGTCAATGCCGGTCACCCTTAGGTCGTGGCCTTGAAGAGTCTCCTCAAGTTTCCACTCCGTTCCAGTCCGACCGTAGATGTTGACCTCATTATTGTTGAGGCTCAGTGCCACCTCTGCAAAAGATACAAGTAAGGGGTTTACCTTGCACATTCTGAGGGGAGACAACTCTTACTTTACAAACTATGAAAAAAAGAAAATGGTGGGTGGAGCTCCCAAAAGAAAATTCATAACTATGACTTATTAATCATCTATGAAAATTAAGGTGATTGCAACCTGACATAACACATCTATAAATGAACAACCATAATTCACATCTTTATTCAAAGTATATACAATCAACTTACTGGTCCTATCAGTATTCCATGCATGACACGTGATGGGGACCACCCCGAATTGAAACACTTCAGTCATGGTGTGTTACTTGTAGCAGGACACTCACACTAACTGAAAGAAAATATAGTTTAAAAGGTAAATAAGGGATACACTACCTTCTACAGTACATGTAGCTTAAAGAAAGAAAGAAAGATAAAACCTTCAAGTACATATAAGGGAAATGAAAACCAATGTTGGAAACCATAATCTTTCAAATTCAGTTACTCATGTGACTATTAAAAAGAAAGAAAGAAAGAAAGAAAGAAAGAGAGAGAGAGAAGGGGGGGAGGCGGAGGAAAGAGGAGTGGACAGTTATCTTATCTCCCTGGGAGGAGAGGGTAGTGACTGGTAAGGCTGACAGAGTAAATATGCATGCACCTCCCACCCCTTGTTTCCTCATCCGTCAACATCAAACACCATCAACATCTGTCAGCTTCACCATCATCACCACCACCTACCTCTCCTCCCCTATTTTCAACACCAAATGCAATCATGTGGGAAATAACTGCCTGTATAAACACTCCCACATGCAAAAGCCTGTACCTCAAAATGCTGAAAGCGCTTACATATTTCCGCACTTCTATGTGACTATTTCACTACTTTACATATGGTTTTCACCATTTAAAGAATGAATTTCACCATTTAAAGAATGAAAATTTAGCTGTCTGTACTCTTACGTAGATTTTCGAATTAACATTAACATCCCAACAGAAATGGTGATGTTTGTGGATTGCAAAGGAAAGGCTGGAGTAATAGAGACTTACTCGACAGGGGAAAGGTCACTTTGGAAACATTATCAATACTTTTACTTATACCATTTGTGATGGAAAATAAGAAGACTCAGGGACATTACAGCATTGATAATTATAAAAAGGAATCATAATTGTAAGAAAAAAAAATAAATCTCACTTAATGGATACACTACCTTCTACAGTACATGTAGCTTAAAGAAAGAAAGAAAGATAAAACCTTCAAGTACATGAGAGAGAGAGAGAGAGAAGAGAGAGAGAGAGAGAGAGAGAGGAGAGAGAGAGAGAGAGAGAGAGAAGAGAGAGAGAGAGAGGAGAGAGAGAGAGAGGAGAGAGAGAGAGAGAGAGAGAGAGAGAGGAGAGAGAGAGAGAGAGGAGAGAGAGAGAGAGAGGAGAGAGAGAGAGAGAGAGAGAGAGAGAGAGAGAGAGGAGAGAGAGAGAGAGGAGAGAGAGAGAGAGAGAGAGGAGAGAGAGAGAGAGGAGAGAGAGAGAGAGGAGAGAGAGAGAGAGAGAGAGAGAGAGAGGAGAGAGAGAGAGAGGAGAGAGAGAGAGAGAGAGAGAGAGAGAGAGGAGAGAGAGAGAGAGGAGAGAGAGAGAGAGAGGAGAGAGAGAGAGAGAGGAGAGAGAGAGAGAGAGAGAGAGAGGAGAGAGAGAGAGAGAGGAGAGAGAGAGAGAGGAGAGAGAGAGAGAGAGGAGAGAGAGAGAGAGGAGAGAGAGAGAGAGAGAGAGAGAGGAGAGAGAGAGAGAGGAGAGAGAGAGAGAGAGAGGAGAGAGAGAGAGAGGAGAGAGAGAGAGAGGAGAGAGAGAGAGAGAGAGGAGAGAGAGAGAGAGGAGAGAGAGAGAGAGGAGAGAGAGAGAGAGAGAGAGGAGAGAGAGAGAGAGAGAGAGAGGAGAGAGAGAGAGAGGAGAGAGAGAGAGAGAGAGAGAGAGGAGAGAGAGAGAGAGAGAGAGAGAGAGAGGAGAGAGAGAGAGAGGAGAGAGAGAGAGAGAGAGGAGAGAGAGAGAGAGAGAGAGAGAGAGAGAGAGAGAGGAGAGAGAGAGAGAGAGAGGAGAGAGAGAGAGAGGAGAGAGAGAGAGAGAGGAGAGAGAGAGAGAGAGAGAGAGAGAGAGAGAGGAGAGAGAGAGAGAGGAGAGAGAGAGAGAGAGGAGAGAGAGAGAGAGAGGAGAGAGAGAGAGAGAGAGAGAGAGAGGAGAGAGAGAGAGAGAGAGAGAGAGAGAGAGAGAGAGAGGAGAGAGAGAGAGAGGAGAGAGAGAGAGAGAGGAGAGAGAGAGAGAGAGAGAGAGAGAGAGAGAGAGGAGAGAGAGAGAGAGGAGAGAGAGAGAGAGAGAGAGAGGAGAGAGAGAGAGAGAGAGAGAGAGAGGAGAGAGAGAGAGAGGAGAGAGAGAGAGAGAGAGGAGAGAGAGAGAGAGAGAGAGAGAGAGAGAGAGGAGAGAGAGAGAGAGGAGAGAGAGAGAGAGAGGAGAGAGAGAGAGAGAGAGGAGAGAGAGAGAGAGAGAGAGAGGAGAGAGAGAGAGAGGAGAGAGAGAGAGAGAGGAGAGAGAGAGAGAGAGAGAGGAGAGAGAGAGAGAGAGGAGAGAGAGAGAGAGGAGAGAGAGAGAGAGAGAGGAGAGAGAGAGAGAGGAGAGAGAGAGAGAGAGAGAGAGAGAGAGGAGAGAGAGAGAGAGAGGAGAGAGAGAGAGAGGAGAGAGAGAGAGAGAGAGAGGAGAGAGAGAGAGAGAGAGAGAGAGGAGAGAGAGAGAGAGAGAGAGAGAGAGAGAGAGAGAGAGAGAGGAGAGAGAGAGAGAGAGAGAGAGAGAGGAGAGAGAGAGAGAGGAGAGAGAGAGAGAGGAGAGAGAGAGAGAGAGAGGAGAGAGAGAGAGAGGAGAGAGAGAGAGAGAGGAGAGAGAGAGAGAGGAGAGAGAGAGAGAGAGAGAGAGAGGAGAGAGAGAGAGAGGAGAGAGAGAGAGAGGAGAGAGAGAGAGAGGAGAGAGAGAGAGAGAGAGGAGAGAGAGAGAGAGAGAGGAGAGAGAGAGAGAGGAGAGAGAGAGAGAGAGAGAGAGGAGAGAGAGAGAGAGAGAGAGAGGAGAGAGAGAGAGAGAGAGGAGAGAGAGAGAGAGAGAGGAGAGAGAGAGAGAGAGAGGAGAGAGAGAGAGAGAGAGAGAGAGAGAGAGGAGAGAGAGAGAGGAGGACATTTTGAGAATGGTTCCCTTAAGCCAGGGACTCAATAAACAAATCCATTTTTGAGAAACATTTCTGATATCACTGTTCGCTTGGCCTTGTACGCCAAGAATTATGCAAGCAAACGTGTCATGGAAACCTCTGAACATTAAAGAATTGCTAAGAACACATCATATGACACCAAAAAAACATATATAAGCTCATGTAAAAATAGAAAATATAATTCTAATACATCCTGAGTGGCCTAACTACTCGATTCATAAATACCAGCCCTGTATTTTCACCTTTTCCTAAACCTTCATTAAAAAAAACTAAGCCGATTACATATATTCGTTATGGAAGAAAAGAGTGAATAAAGTGTTACAGCCTCGTAATAAAACAATTAAATAAACAAAAAAGGAAATACCTTATCTCAATTACCATAAAAAAACACGGGTCTATACCTCAAATGTCATCAATACCCACATGTAAAAGAGACTTAGATTATCATTTAAAACGTGATATATCTACAAACAAACCCTATAATTGAAAAATATTAAAAAGAATCTCAAAATCTCAGTTAAGTACTTGATGACAAATAAAAATATCTTGTTTACCGGGCCGGATGTGTGCCCCGCCTCTTGAAACTTCATAATATCTCGCTGTTTTGACTAATATTCTCTTCTAAAATATTGTTCTTTTCATACCAACACGTGCTCTGTCTATCCTGAGTGTGTTTGGTATAGTGACTTGGGTGTACAAAGGTTTTCTTACCTAAATAATAAGGGGAAATTAGCGGACTCTGGACAGTCTACGCTAACCCCTGAGCTGACTAACACTTTGTTCTGTTCCCTTCACTAAATTTTATGGGCAGAGAAATATATTTTATTTTTTGGTGTAAGCCTACTATAAAGGTGTATAATGAAAATTGTACTCACTTGATGAACAGAAATCTGTAAATATTTCTGCAAAGTTGCCAACGGGTTAGGAAAAGAAGACAGCGGAAGTCAAATTTAAAGCATACGAACAAGACTGACAACTCCCCTGGACAGAAGACAATTTTATCATTCTGCATTCTGATTGGCTGAAAATTTTATCATTCTGCATTCTGATTGGCTGAAAATCTGACTCTTTTGGCCCGCGCTTTTCGAAAATATTCTGATTAAAGTTTTCTTTCATGTATTTTATCTAATATTGTTTTCTTAATCTTTTAATTTCTTGTTTTCTTCGATAAGATATATGAATAGTGGTAGATGAACTTACGTATTTTCTTATTTTTTGTTGTTGCAGTCAAACTGTAAGGGTTTTAGAAAGTACATTGCATCTGCATCAAACTGCGTTTAATGCACTATTTTTTTTTAAGTTATGTGCGAAAAAGTTAAACAACATTCATCTCATATATTGAGAAAACAATATATGAAATACAAATACTGGGCAGATAGCACGGCACATCGCATATCTTATGGTGCTTATGTTGCCTTGGATAAACCTTGACTTTGAAATAGAATGTCGTGCTGTTAACAAACAGACTTGTTAAAAAGTTATTATGCAAGCTTTTTCGGCTACCTTTCCTTCCTTAACGAGGAGAACTGGGATAACTATGAAGCAGCAAATCACGCACAAAAGGATATTGGGAACCACTGCTATAGATAATAGCTTCTTAGAATCATTCACACCCTCCTTTTTATCGAAAGATATAGACGAGCAGATCTTATTTCGATAAGATAATGCCGATTGTGCACTTGTAATCAGTCATTCTCACTGGGGAGTCCACGTTAGTTGTTCAGTATCTTAGCAGTGCACAAAATAGTGTGAAATAGGAGTTTCACTGCATAGTTGTACGGCGGTGTACTGATTCACTGTTAAGGATAAAAAGTAAAGATTCATATCATACGTAAGATGAAAAATGTGTGAACCATGAGTTAAAGATTCAGCATAAGGGGATATAAAATTCCTTGTCTGTATTGATAGCTTACGAACGGCACTACAGTAGTTCAGCAGAGAGGGACGTTTCTCCTGAATTAAGTCTTTGGCGTCATCAGAGTGGTGGTAAATTCACGACGAAGGTGTACTTTGAGCGGAAGCATCAAGACTATTCTAAACCTCGAAAGCCAAAGAGAGAGCAATGACTGAAATCGGCCTGGGAGAGCTTTCCTGGACGTTGGCGACAATGTGTGCTTGGGTGTTAGCTGTTGGGATATCTCTATTTCTGTGTTTAGGAGTGGTGTATCTGGTGTATCTTCGTCATGTTAACAAGGGTACAAGAAATTTCTGGCCAGCAACCGTTAAACTCGATGGCAAAACCGCTGTTATTACGACCAATGGCAGTGGTATGTGTTACGTCGTGACTCTCGGCAGTGCTAATGACACGAAATCAGTTCATTACAGTGTAAATATGATATAAGAAATGTCTTATGCCTTTATACTAATCCTTCTCGCGATCATATGCTTCGCATTTTACAGCAATGTCATTTCTCTTCATCCGTCTTTTGCCTCTTTCGTTACCGCGGTTCACCTATTTTTTTATTATTATTCCAGATATCGGCGTGGAAGCGGCCAGGCAGATGGCAGCTAGAGGAGCTCGGATAGTCCTTGCCTGCAGTGACCAGAGGAAAGTGAACGAAGCCATGGGTGAGTCTTCTGTCGAAGTCATTCTAGACCTGTCGCTCGCTGATGAGGACAGAAAGATGTTTAAAAAGCGTTTTTCATTAAAAGGAATGCGCTCTCTCTCTCTCTCTCTCTCTCTCTCTCTCTCTCTCTCTCTCTCTCTCTCTCTCTCTCTCTCTCTCTCTCTCTCTCTCTCTCTCTCTCTCTCTCTCTCTCTCTCTCTCTCTCTCTCTCTCTCTCTCTCTCGCTCTCTCTCGCTCTCTCTCTCTCTCTCTCTCTCTCTGTCTCTCTCTCTGTCTCTCTCTCTGTCTCTCTCTCTGTCTCTCTCTCTGTCTCTCTCTCTGTCTCTCTCTCTGTCTCTCTCTCTCTCTCTCTCTCTCTCTCTCTCTCTCTCTCTCTCTCTCTCTCTCTCTCTCTCTCTCTCTCTCTCTCTCTCTCTCTCTCTCTCTCTCTCTCTCTCTCTCTCTCTCTCTCTCTCTCTCTCTCTCCCTCTCTGTGTATGTATACATCTGCATATATATATATATATATATATATATATATATATATATATATATATATATATATATATATATATATATATATATATATATATATATTTATTTATTTATTTATATATGTATATTGTGTATACACACACATATACACACATATGTATATATATATATATATATATATATATATATATATATATATATATATATATATGTAAACACATATATCTGTGTGTGTGTGTGTGTGTGTGTGTGTGTGTGTGTGTGTGTGTGTGTGTGTGTGTGTGTGTGTGTGTGTGTGTGTGTGTGTGTGTGTGTGTGTGTTTGTGTGTGTGTGTGTGTTTATTCATAGCCATCCATCTCGCTTAGGATATGCATCCCAAAATCCAAGCTTTGACACTTCCACTGAAGCAACAAGTCGTGAAATTCCGGCAACATTCTGAACATCTTTTCAGTCGACACCGTCAGCTCCAGCCACGTTCCGCAGGTGACCTGGAGGCACTTGGACACCTCCTCCCTGGCCTCTGTTAATGACTTCGTAGACGCCTTCGTCAGGAGAGAAGAGAGGTAGAAAAAAAAAAAATCCCTTACAAACTCTTATCTTGAAATAAAAATACATAGTATAGGGAATGGACAGTGTGGAAGGCCAGTGTATGTAGGGAACTTGATCTAGAATGGACTTAAGCTTAATTGATAATTTGTTATCAGCTACGTATGTTATTCTGTGTGTGTGGCTGCCTAGAAAGACCGTGCGTGCGAACTTCGGATAACAGAGAGAACGTGATGCGTGGTTGGATGAAGCTCATTAATCGAGATTTTCACAGAATTAATCAGTATTATGTAGATGGATCATACACGGCAAATATGATGTCATCAGTGTAGCTGGTATCTCACAATATTTTTGAGATTATCTATTTTTTCAGTACGTTTCGGGTACGTTGAATGAAGGCAAAAGAAAGAAAGAAAAACCTAATGCGTTGTGAATAATGGAAATTTGTCATAATTTATGAAAATAATCTTACCATCCAATCAGAACTTGTGTTCCCCTGAGACATCTCGAGCTGAGTTATATTGGCGATAATGTATTACTGTTTTTCATGATAAATTTACAGTTACACTTTGCTAACAGGATAGATATACTGGTAATGGCAGCGTGTACCGGCGGGGCTGTCACTCGAGAGCTGACGGCTGACGGCCTGGAAGTCACCATGGCCACGAACCACTTTGGCCATTTTCTCTTGGTAAATCGCCTTATCGGTGAGTGATAAGAAATTTATTGGTCGTATTGCGGTATTTCATCTGAAAGTGCAAGTTCACTGAGTTTTTCGATTTCCTTCGTCTTCATATTTGTCTTTTTATGAATGTGTATATCCATGTAGATGATGTCAGTGTTATCTGATTTACGAATTCCAAAATGTGTAAAATATACTGAAAGTCATGATATATGCCATCAAATTTGAGTTCTGCAAATATGACTACGCAAAAATAGTGATGATATTCTCGGCTAGTTTGTTTTCCTCTTCCCCTCTGTCTGTCTCTCTCATTCTCCCTCTTCTACTTCTCTCTCCCTTTTTCTTTCCTCTACGACCTATGCTACACCTTCTTCAATATGAGTTATGATTTACATTTCCTTCACAGGTTTGTTACGGAAACACAAATCAAGTCGGGTTATAGTGTTGGCAGCTTCAGCTCACTATATGCTCTCCACCATCACTCCCAAGGTAGAGTGCAAAGTATATATAAGTTATATATATTTTGGTTGAGTGGTTATTTGAAGATCATGTTATTCGTTATTGCAGAGGTCAGTCAGTAACGAGGGTATTATGTGAAGTGGCTGGAGACTTTTTACCCTAAGGGTGTGGATTATTTCCATTAGTTTCCATATCTTATTCACAATTCGTATTCATTTTCATTTTTCAAAGACTATCCTCTATGATTAAAAGACGATGTGCTTCGTACGGCATGTATATTTAGCATTATAGCGTACACACGCACACACACACACGCACACGCACACACACACGCACACGCACACGCACACGCACACGCACACGCACACGCATATGTGTGTGTGTGTGTATGTGTGTGTGTGTGTGTGTGCGTGCGCGCGTGCGTGCGCGCGTGTGCTTACAGTATAGTCAGCTGTATAATTCGGGAACCAAAGGTTGAAGCATGTGAATGAACACTTACTGAGAAAGATGATAAATAATATCTCTGTTGATACAAACATATGCCTCATGAAGACGTCCCTTGCAGAATTTGAATTTCGAACGTGCGAAATACGGGGGTCTGCGTGCCTTCGCTCAGTCAATGCTCTGCAACATTCTGATGTCTAATTGCTTGGCTGACGCAACGGCTCATACAGGTAAAGAAAAATACGTCAGATTTTAATTTGTTGTGCTTTTTTCCCCTTTTTTCTTGTTAATTTAGTTATCAGTGTATTCATTCACTTATTTTACAATGATACAATGCTAGAGTGATTTTGTAGTGAGTAGTGAGTTTCGGTTACCTACTGCTTGTAAACTTTACTTTTACCAACTAGGAAGAAAGGAGGGAATGAGAGAAGTTGATGAAAATAGATGATGAAATATGTAACTAAATACCCCCTCCCCCCCTTTTTTTAACCCTAGGCATGACCGTCAATTCCTTCTGTCCGGGTATGGTGTTATCATTACCTTACATCAGAGGCAGCAATTTCCTGGCGCGCCTCTACTACATCTTACTTCAGTTCGTTACAAGGGTTTGTATGGCATTTTTAAGAGAGACAGAGACAGAGACAGAGACAGAGACAGAGAGACAGAGAGACAGAGAGACAGGTCAGACAGAGAGACAGAGAGACAGAGAGACAGAGAGACAGAGAGACAGAGAGACAGAGAGACAGAGAGACAGAGAGACAGAGAGACAGAGAGACAGAGAGACAGAGAGACAGAGAGACAGAGAGACAGAGAGACAGAGAGACAGAGAGACAGAGAGACAGAGAGACAGAGAGACAGAGAGACAGAGAGACAGAGAGACAGAGAGACAGAGAGACAGAGAGACAGAGAGACAGAGAGACAGAGAGACAGAGAGACAGAGAGACAGAGAGACAGAGAGACAGAGAGACAGAGAGACAGAGAGACAGAGAGACAGAGAGACAGAGAGACAGAGAGACAGAGAGACAGAGAGACAGAGAGACAGAGAGACAGAGAGACAGAGAGACAGAGAGACAGAGAGACAGAGAGACAGAGAGACAGAGAGACAGAGAGACAGAGAGACAGAGAGACAGAGAGACAGAGAGACAGAGAGACAGAGAGACAGAGAGACAGAGAGACAGAGAGACAGAGAGACAGAGAGACAGAGAGACAGAGAGACAGAGAGACAGAGAGACAGAGAGACAGAGAGACAGAGAGACAGAGAGACAGAGAGACAGAGAGACAGAGAGACAGAGAGACAGAGAGACAGAGAGACAGAGAGACAGAGAGACAGAGAGACAGAGAGACAGAGAGACAGAGAGACAGAGAGACAGAGAGACAGAGAGACAGAGAGACAGAGAGACAGAGAGACAGAGAGACAGAGAGACAGAGAGACAGAGAGACAGAGAGACAGAGAGACAGAGAGACAGAGAGACAGAGAGACAGAGAGACAGAGAGACAGAGAGACAGAGAGACAGAGAGACAGAGAGACAGAGAGACAGAGAGACAGAGAGACAGAGAGACAGAGAGACAGAGAGACAGAGAGACAGAGAGACAGAGAGACAGAGAGACAGAGAGACAGAGAGACAGAGAGACAGAGAGACAGAGAGACAGAGAGACAGAGAGACAGAGAGACAGAGAGACAGAGAGACAGAGAGACAGAGAGACAGAGAGACAGAGAGACAGAGAGACAGAGAGACAGAGAGACAGAGAGACAGAGAGACAGAGAGACAGAGAGACAGAGAGACAGAGAGACAGAGAGACAGAGAGACAGAGAGACAGAGAGACAGAGAGACAGAGAGACAGAGAGACAGAGAGACAGAGAGACAGAGAGACAGAGAGACAGAGAGACAGAGAGACAGAGAGACAGAGAGACAGAGAGACAGAGAGACAGAGAGACAGAGAGACAGAGAGACAGAGAGACAGAGAGACAGAGAGACAGAGAGACAGAGAGACAGAGAGACAGAGAGACAGAGAGACAGAGAGACAGAGAGACAGAGAGACAGAGAGACAGAGAGACAGAGAGACAGAGAGACAGAGAGACAGAGAGACAGAGAGACAGAGAGACAGAGAGACAGAGAGACAGAGAGACAGAGAGACAGAGAGACAGAGAGACAGAGAGACAGAGAGACAGAGAGACAGAGAGACAGAGAGACAGAGAGACAGAGAGACAGAGAGACAGAGAGACAGAGAGACAGAGAGACAGAGAGACAGAGAGACAGAGAGACAGAGAGACAGAGAGACAGAGAGACAGAGAGACAGAGAGACAGAGAGACAGAGAGACAGAGAGACAGAGAGACAGAGAGACAGAGAGATAGAGAGACAGAGGGACAGAGAGACAGAGGGACAGAGGGACAGAGAGACAGAGAGACAGAGAGACAGAGAGACAGAGAGACAGAGAGACAGAGAGACAGAGAGACAGAGAGACAGAGAGACAGGCATACGGTACCCTCAAACTCCGTAATAATAATAAAGTAAAATAACGAAAACCAAACTTTAACCATCATTATACAAATCAGTTTCCTTTATATATGAAACAAATATCTAATCTTGTTTTTTGACTCAGGAGAGGAAAATGACAGGTCTGGCGAGCGACATCGGTCTGGCAAGGAAGGTCTGGGAAAGGAGCGAGACGATGGTACGTCTTGCACCTGTTGATAGTCCTTGACGAGGAATATTAGACTTTAGATCCGAAGATCCAAAGTCTGAAACCCTAGAGCATTTCTGGAAGACTCTCGAAGATGTCTGGTCTGGCTTCGAAAAGTCTAGTGCAGAGAGGTGGTTCTGAGACTTCAACCACAGTGGAAAAGAAGATGCGAAATGTTAGCTTATGAAAATGGTCCTAAAAATATCCTAAACCTTTCGGTAGTCATTCGTGTGGATTTGATATCCACTGTGGACCAAAAAAAAATTATACTATTACTCTTACTGTAGTGCCAATAATCGCATTATCATGCAGGCTGGATTTAGCCCTTGGGGTCCCTCAACAGAAAAGAACATGTGACATAACAAATGAATAAATGAATTTAAGTGTTAAATCAAATTTTTTTACTGCAAGAATGTCGTGGATTAATATTTTCAATTTTTAGTATAGGAAATGTTAGTGTTGTATTACAGTAATTGCACAGGTGTTAATTAATAAATGATTGTTAACTTACATTTTTCCATTAACATGTTTTTATAGATCAGATTATGATTATAAATTCTAGGTTAACACCGTTTACTATTTTTTCTCAGTATCTAACTGTTGTTAGTTAAGTAATTCAAAGGTATTGTGATGGATAGAGCACCCTGCCTTTCTGTTTTCTGGCGTCCCACACATACTTTGTTGATTTTTTAAAATAATAAAACCAATTTTATAATTGCTACATTTTTTTTTCTTTCCAAAGGAATGGGACAATTGTACCCTACGCCTCCTATAACTCCGTCCCTGTTTGCATGTGAATAGTAGAAACCGTAGCAAATGTTTTGTGACATGACTATCTTCTTGTGTTAGAAAGTTTCATTTCTGATCTGAAATTTATCGTAATTACCTTCATTGGCGAAGTATATACTATATCCCATTTTGTGTTTATTTTCCTATTGAACCATCTTCATTAAACAATACACTCCAAAGAAG